CTTCGTCCTCCGCCACACGTTGAGCCTTTTGCTCATCCTTGATTGTCGGTTCTGGTTGTTGGGACTGGGTAGAAACGCCAGGCGAGTTTCCTCGCATAGTAGGAAGACTAAAGAGCGCGTCTTTCTCTTCCTGGGTCGTGGCTACCAGTCCCCTTGGAACTGGGGTAGGCTCCTCCTCTTCTGGTTTCGGATCCAAATGGCTCAAGATCCCGAGACGACGATTCACTGCGGCGATCTCGTCTGGTGTCATCGGGATAAGTAGCGGATGGCCATCTTTGTGAAGGGTTTTGCCCCGGTTGGGGCTCAGACCTTCGTTGTTGCCAACGGGGCATCCTGGCCTGTGGTTCTGGACGGGCTCGGAACAAGGTCCGCAAGCTGCGTGAGGCCTATACTGCTTGCGAGCCGCGATGATGTCTCGCAGTTGAGTCCGCGCTTCTTGAATTTCAGGGCGGCGGATATTTGTTGCAAGCTGATAGCCTCCGCGGATGGCCTTGCCCTCGCTGTCCCTATAGGCAGGGTTGCCCTTGCCGAAGGCCGAGTGTTCCCCTTTTCGGCGTCTTGGATCGTTATACGGAAGTAGCTGGCCGCCTCTCCTGAGAGCGTGTTCTTTTGGGCCAGCCTGTCTCCACTCACGAGGAAGTCGAGCCTGTGGATGTGGCTCTTCTCTGACGCGCGTATGGGAACGAGACCTTCTGGTGTTCTCATCAGAAGAAGCTGCCGAAGCAGCATGAGCGGCACCCGGTGGAGGCGCCTGAGGAGGCTCCTGTGCGATCCCAGATGGATCGTCCGATGGAGGCAGGTCTCCCTGCTGGATGGAACTCGGCGCAAATGGCGCTTGTGCCGATGGTGATGATGATTCAGACTCGTCAGGATCGAAGTCAACCTCTTCCTCACCATTAACGTCCATCATGAGGATGGTAACGTCGTCTTCATCTAAACCGCAACCATCGCCTTCTACTTCTTCTGATGTCGAACTTCCGATGATAATGGCCATTGGCGTATCTGGCACAGGCAGGTTACCCTGCGTAGCCGGCGTCTGTGCGTCGCTCGGCTGCCCCGGGGTAGGAGGCGCTGTTGTCGGCTCAGGCTCGTCGCCGAGCACAGGCTGCCCGGCAATATTGCGCATGGCCGCATGGTTTGGCCACATTCCCACCGCCTGGAGACCCCATCCTGGCGGAGGAAGATCATGACCGCACATAGCAATAGCCATTTCTAGAGCATTACGCCATCTACCACGGGAGTATATCAGGTGTCTCTGCACGTCCTGAGGATGCACGCTGTCAATAAGAGTCAGAGCTGCCAACAACAGCTCTGAGCTACCACAAGCGTCAGTATCCTGCATTATCATAATGTCAGCTTCGATATGTTCTTGACTCGGGATAACCAGTAATAAGTATCTCATGCATCCTCATGAGGGTCTGCAAAAGGGTGCGTGGTCCATATTCGCCTGGAGCAGGCGAACCAGGAGGTATAAACGGGGGTATCTGGTTCGCCTGCAATGAAGGCCTGAACGAACGCCTGAGACTCCATTTCGATTAAATCTTCAGTAGTCTGGGATATTCTCCCATCAAAGAAGGCCTGTTTCCAGGCGGGATTTCGGGCGGAGGTTCGAGGTTTCGTTGAACCTCGGAAGGCGAAGCCTCTAAAGTGGTGTCCTCGTCACTGCTCTCGTAGGCCATGGTGTTGCCTGGGTTCCTGAACATCCAGTCGAAGAAAGATAAAGGGTAGTTTCCCAGCGTCCCGTGTTCCACGGGAGTGAGCTCGTTGTTGCCCTCAACGAACCTGCGAACATACTCGAGGTAGTACGCGTACAATCCATGACCATGCGCCTCGAGCTCGTCGACGTTGTCCACGCAGCTAACCCAAGTGAAACATATCTGCTCCATAGCCTCAAAGTCCTGGAGGCTCAGATACTCAATGAATGGTTCACTTGAGCCAAAATGGACTTCGGTCGACCTGCCCTTTCCATTTCCCTTCATTGGACAATCTCGCACAAGATGATCGGTACTACCACATTCATGGCATTTAAGAACCTGGCCGTCTCTACCTCGCGGGTTTCCCCGCCTACCTTTGCCTTTTCCTGAGGTCTCTCTGCGGCCTTTGCCACGGCCCTTTCCCCCAAAGAATATCTCATCATGTTGTTCATCTGAGAGCCTCTGGAGAAATGCCGCGATGCCTCGTCCGTTCAACCTCCGACGACCTCGCTTACCTTTTCCTTCTAACACGACGCACTGGTTTTCGTGCGAACCTCCTCCACCTTCGTTTAGCCTGTTGTAGTAACCAGAACAAATGTTCAGCACGCTGATTGTCGTTATCCATATTCATGATATCTGACCAATCTAAAGCTTCAACACCATCTGATGATATAGTGTCTGTATCAGCGCCGGAGTCGAAATCCTCGTCTCCCAAGTAGGTGGATACACCGTCGGTTAGGGGGTTTGATTCCCCCCATAAAGAACGGTGTGGTTGTGGTTCTCTAGAAGGAGGACTGGTTGCCCAGCTTGGTTGTGATCGATCTCCTGCTAATAAAGCAGTGGATTATCCAGGATCATCGGCCCATATGCTTGAGGGCCCGTTTCCAGGCTGGGCTTCAGTAGTCAAGGTAGTGTAGAAATTTCCACTACCAGATCCCCTTCCCCTTCCAAACACAGATCCTATGTTACCAGGAGACCGTTCAGATAGGTGGCCTATCGAACGCATCCTCTCCAGCAACTCATCATACTGTTGTTGTGTTCGGGGCATTTGGTGATTGAGTGGCTGTAAGAGTTGCATGGCTCGCTGGTTGCCGACGCCTAAGGCGCGGAATAGGATAGTGGTTAGCAGTTGGAAGTTGGGAAGGTCGAATCCCACCGACTGTGCCTCAAGTCGGGCCATTTCGAATCGGGTAAGGGTGACATCGATTCGTTCCCCGTGAGGCACGTGGAAGTCGATGAGTTGTGTGCCGGAAGTGAGCTGACGCTCATCTTCCAGGCGTTCGAACTTCATGCTTAGGAGGAACATGATGTAGGTCACTGGGTCGGTGTGGACCCCATCGATGTCAGCACCATAGTTTATAATGTCAGGCGGTACCCTCATGGCGAGTGTCCTCGCTAGGCCACCTAGGCCGCGTTGTATTGCGGCCGCTTGGGCCTGTGGCGTCATACGTCCGCTTGTAACGTTGAGCCATGCGTTGACCTCGTAGATGTACTCACGAAAAGGTACATTACCTTGAGGGTCCCAATATGGGCCATGTGTTTGCCCATCGGTGCTGTTTTCTCCACGACGCATGTGTCCGATTGCTGCCCCCAGCGCGAACCATATAATAGCGAAAACGACTAGCCCGAGAATGTGTAGAGAAGGACGGTTATTGGGCGCGTTGCCGCGCTGGGGTAGCGCCTTGTCGAGTCTTCGAGGCGCTCTATCTGGCGGGTCTCCCCGCCCCTGCTTCAAGCATTGCGCTATTAGCTCGTTGCCGAGCGGTTGGTGGTAACGCAATGATGAAGCGTACATGGTACCAATCTGGTCGTCTAGACGTCGTACCTCTCGTGTCGCTCCTTGCTCTTGGATAGATCCTCGTAAACGTACTGGGAGTGGTGGCGCAGGGTGGTAGGTGGTCACGAAGATCGTGCCGAAGAATACGAGGCTAAGAAGAGCAAGAGCTGACCACACGAGAGTGCGGCCAGCTCCGCTACCAAGTCGAAAGTGAGCCTGGTAACTCAAATAGCATCCGATTCCATGATAGACATCGGATGGCAAATAGCGTCCATCGCTCTGCTGTGATAGTTCAGTATGAGGGATGGGCGGATAAGATAGGAAAATATCGATGTATCGGTCTTTCCAGCACATAGCGAACACTCGCGGTGTCCGGGCAAATAGGGCGCGCGTGCCTTGGGCCAAAGGCAACGGCGCGCGAGCTATGCTCCCGATACTGTAACATCTCCCAAAGAGCTACCCTTAAAGTTCCTCATCCTGCTCCTCCTCCTCCACTGCTGCTCCCCATGCTGCAAGTGGTCCCGCCCCTGGCCCCAACGGACAAGAGCGCGCCCCGCCCTGCGGCTGCTACCCTTGCAGTCGGACCTAGGCCAGAAGAACATCCCTCAAGAGTATGGGACCCTCCGTCTTCCAAAACAAACAGAACACCCAAGGGTACCCTCCCCAGGAGGCACAAGAACATCCAACAAGCACGAAGAACACTAGCGCACCCTTCCCGAACCGATCTCGATCTTATACCTTGGCCCGACTGTACCGCCCCGCCTCGTCACCTTCCTCTACCCATCAGTCGGAAGACGTAGGCAGAAACATGCAATAGGAAGGCGTTGAAATAGATTGGGTTCCGTCCGCTCCCGTGGGAGGACGGAGAAGGTAAAGCCACTCGATCATTGAAGTAGGAAGGCATTAAAAGTAGATTGGAATCTGGGCATCCACCTACTTTTAACGACCGATGGCTACTCCTCTCCCAGCTCTCCTGCTGCTGCTTCTCCCCCCGTCCCGTCCCCGCCCCAGCCGCTCCTCCCACTGATGAACTCCGCTGCAGCGAGGGCCGCCCCCGCGGCAAGGTCGCCCCCATATCTCGGTCCCTGTCCCCGCCACCTGCCCCCGCCACCTGCCCCCGCTCCGCCCTGCGCCCCCCTTTCTCAACCTCCTGGTCCTCTGGTTCCCATTCCTTCCCATCTCTTGGCGGTCAGAGCCGGGGGGAAGTGAGAAGGCGCGGGCCTTCTCAGAAGGTTCGGAAGCCCCCCGGCCTCCTGAGAAGCTCCCGATGCCTCTCCCGAAGACGCACACACACAACACCTCTCAGAAGGCGCGAGGCCTTCTGAGAAGTCCCGCCGCCTTCTGAGAAAGGCATTATCCTTCTCACTTCCCCCCCCCTCGCTCGCCGCTCCTCCTCCTCCTCCTCCTCCTCCTCCTCCTCCTCCTCCTCCTCCTCCTCCTCCGAATCTCGTCCTCGTCCGCGTCCCCGTCTCCGCGCTCGTCTCTTGTTCCCCACTGCTTCACCCGCAAACGCCCACGGGCGGCGGCACCGCTGGTCCCGGCTCCAAACACTGCGCCGGCCCCGGAGGCAGCGCCTGGCGCCGTGCATACATGGCTACCTACCAGACCACCCCAACCCAACCCGAAGACCCGAATTTCGGGTTGGGGGGGGTATGGGCTCCATATGTGTTTTTTCGATGTTCCCGGACCCCCCCCCCACTAGAAATCGAGGGTAAACCTGAGCCTTCGGGTTGGGTTGGGGTGGTTTGGTGGGTGGTGAATACAGGATCTGGAGGGGATCGAGAGAGGCGACCGGCGTCTGACGTCATCTCGGACGCGAAGGACGTCATCATATGACTGGCTCAAGGTATGTCTTGGGAATTCTGGAACATCTGACGGCACACGTGGGAAGACACACTGCGTCTATGATTGTCTACCGTGCCTGGCGCCACTAGTCGGGGAATCGAACGTCCACTACCCAGGATTCCCACCGAGGGGGCTCGGTGACAAAAGCTGGTTCCTGCCCAGCGCCGGGAATACCTGCGAGCCCCCACACCGCGTGCCGCTGCGTACGGGGCGCTCGTGCGACTCTTCAAATGGCCAGGATGAAATTTGTGATGCCGCACTCTGGGAATGCTCAGGGGATCGATCAACACGACTCCGAGTCGGTGGACAGTGTCTTCGAATGTATTTTTATAAATCCATCTTGGGAATGGTGGTCCACGGCTCCTTATCATTGAACAATACCCCCCACTCGACCAGCTCCCCCACACTGCTTCCCCCACATGCAACTACCCCTGTCAATAAGCAGTTACTCGACGCGGAGATCCCCATGTGTGCATCTCATTTATCACGCTCGTCTCGCTGTTACATCTGGCTGTAAACTTCTGCATGCCTGTATCAGCCTGCGCCAATCTCCGCAGTGCCAGCTCTGAGGCCAGGAGTGGTGGACGCGACCCCTTGCAAAGCCTCCCCCTTCTCCCTTCTCCCCGACCCTCGTCCTTCCCCCTCCTCCTCTTCTATCCCGTCCTTCTTCTGACTCCTTTCTGATCGTCCTCGTTCCTCCTCCTCCATTCTCCTCCTCCTCCTCCTCCTCCACCACCACCATCACCACCTCCTCCCTCTCCACACCCCTCCGCGCAAACACACCGGGCGGTTCCCATTGAGGTGCTGCAGCAAGCGCCTCGCTGGAGACATCACCACAGCTTGCTATGAAAGCAAACAAGTCCGAACGCCGAACAGGCAAGCCGCATCAAACATCACCAAAATCTGGGCGTGAACGGGCAAGTGAGATATCCACCGGCGGTATCCCCTTGGCCTGCTGAAGCCAACGCTTCGCTCGAGACATCCGCGCAAAATCTGCTCTGAGAGCAAAAGAAGCCAGGGAAACCAAACAGGCTGACTGCCTAGGACATCGAGCTCCCGCGGGTTCCCAGGAGCTCCTGGGAGCACTCTGAACTCCTTGGAACTTCGTGCTCCTTGGCGCTTCGTGGGTAATTGCCCTCGACCTCCCCGTGACCCCCTGGAATTTCTAGGGGCTGCCTCGAGTTTTCGGGGGAGTCCTCGACTGGGGCGTCCTACATTTTCCATGGAGTTCCTGGGAGTTCCTTGGAGCTTCCTGGGACTCCGTCTGGGGCTTCCCCAGTTGGGGTGCTGAGGCCAGCGCGTGGCCGAAGACAAGCTGGCCCAAACGATGCCCCAAACGGCTCGATAACGGCCCCCAAGAGGCCTCCAAACTGCCTCCAAAAGGCCTCCCACAATATCCCAAAGAACATCCAGTAGTCTTCGCGCCCACAGCCCAAGCACAGTGGAGGGATGGGCCGAAGGCGAACGCAGCATCTCCTACCAAGTCACTTTCGGTCGGCGAGGGGGAGGGGGGCGGCGAGGCCGAATTGTTTGATCCACCTGTTTAAATACCAATCGTAATTGCGATCCCCAATCCGCCGTATTACTTCTCAAATCCCGCACCCATTCCACAACTCCATGGAGGCCCCTCAAAAGAACCATGTTTCGGCATTCCGTGCATCCGCACTCTCCGTAGACCGAATATCCGTACATGCGATCTACTGGGAACAATGGGGTCCAAATGAGGAAGATAATGCACAGTTGATCAATTGCGCGACACTCACCCAACATGTATCGCGGGTGGGGCGACTATGTATGTGAGCGCTTTATGCACACAGGGTACATTGCCATATACGCAGCACCTGGAAGGCGGCGTGCAACCATTTCGGGCCACGCATGTCTTACACCTGCGCAACATAGACAAGCAACACACACTCACACACTCGGAGGAAGAAGAGAAAAAAGGGGGATGACCAAACGAGGATGGACAACGAAGGGGAATAACGGGATAACTACTGGTGAGGGCAACAACGCCATGCGCTACATTTGCTCGGTTCGCCCGTGCCGCCGCAGCGGGCGACTGACACATGACGGGGGGGAGCCACTGCGCACGCTCGCCCAAAACCCGCTGGCGGCCCTCCTCCATTCAGTCGCGCAGGAACTTGGCAACGTCGAGCGCGCGCACCATTTTGTTGGACTGCGTCCTGCAATTCTAACGCGCCTCCAGAGAGCCCACGAGAAAAGGCGACAAGTGCGCTTCGCAACCACTCAGGGACGACACTGAGGACAGCGCAGTGCACTACGTGACGCTGCAGCGCCCTGCGTTCTGTGATTCAACGTCGCTGTACGCCGCATGACGGGCCAGCGCCTCGCGCCCCATTTCACATTCGACTGGCAAACGTCATTTGCAAGCATCGCCGACGGCGACGCCAAGATCAAGACAAAGGAGCGCCATGAACAGAAACTTCCGGCGCTCTGCGCGTATTTCTTGGACCTGCGCTGGACACCCCTCCCTGGAGCGCGGAGCGCGCCAGGGGCGGCGACGGAGGCGCCGCTAGGGGGCCCCAGCGCGGATGCAAGAAATCCGCGCGGAGCGCCAAAAGTTCATGTTTATGGTGTTTAGTCTCCTTCGACAAATTATAGCCAATGCGCATGCTTGCCCAAAACCCAGAGGCGGCTCTCCTCCCTTCCATTGCGCAGGAACTTGACAAGACCGAGCGCGCACGCGCGCGCGCTATCTTGTTGGATCGCGCCCAGCAGTTCTACCACGCAACCCGAGAGCCCGCGGCAATGGAGACAAAGGCGGCTCGCAACCACCCAGCGAGCCGCGAAATCCCGTGGGGAGGCGCGTGCAACTCCACCCCGCTGGACCTCTCAAGGGCCAGCGAAGGTCCCGTGGGGGGCGCGTGCAATTCCGCCCCGCTGAACCTCCCAAGGGCCACGGAAGTGGCGACAACTGGGCAGTCCTCAGCCGCCGAGGGAGCCGCGAGTTCTCGCCTGGATGCGCGTACAATTCTATGTCGCAAGACCTCCCCGGAATGCGCGAAAATGGCAACAATTAAGCAATCCGCAGCCACCCAAGATGCAACGACGCCCCGTCTGGATGCCAACTACATTCCGCAAACCTCCCATGTGCCCAAGAAAGTGGCGAGAACTGCACAATTCGCAGTCACCCAAAGACCCGCGACCCGCGAGGTCCCGTCTGGATGCGCGTACTACGCCACTCCGCTGACCTCCCAGGAGCCCACGAACGCAGTGAGAATTGCGCAGACCGCAACCACGCAGGGAGCCGCGAGGACCTGCTTGGACGCGCAGACACCTCTACTCCGCTGGACTTCCCATAGGCCGACGACAGTGGCAATGATTGCCCGCGTTGCAGCCACCGAAGAAGCCGCGAGGTCCGGTCTGGGCGCGCGTGCAACTCAACTCCGGACGGCCTCCCAGGAGCCAGCGGATGCGGCGACAGTCCGCAACTCGCAGCCACTGGGAAACACCCGACCGCGTATAGTGGGATAGTTGGCGGGAGGCAAGGGGGAGGAAAAGGGTGAGGCGCGAGGAGACAGGAGGAAGGAGGCGGCGCAGCACGCTCGCCGGGGGCACGAGTCACGACTTCCGGAACTACAAACTCAAAGCTTACTCAAGCACCTCGGGTGCGCTTCTGGAAGCGGTGCATAGCACCAGGGGCGGCTCGAAAGTCCCTGTGAAGTCCAGCGCGGAAGTATCCCTGGATCCAGGGACGCCCAAGTTCTACACAATCGGTGGGCTACGATCAGAAAATAAGCAGGAAACACGAAACATACTTTCAGCCAGCACATCACGAGACTGTTTAAATTGTTGACGCGTCGCGAATCCCCACCAGCCCATCCAGAAACGATGCCCAAAGGAATTGCCTCGATCAGGGAAGTGGGCAGCACAGAGGAAGCCTTTACGAGACATCTTGGGATATCTTGAGCCATCTTGGAGGTCACCTTGGGCTCTCCCAGGCGCTCATAGAGTCATCTTAATCAGTGCCCCCCCAAGAGGCCAACATGTGGCTAAAACCTGAATAAATTCAATGATTTGGCATTCTCGCCGAGACCTCTTGGAGCATCTGGGGTGCCTCTGGGGGGTCTCTTGGGGCCTCTTGGAGCTCTCTGGCCACCTCTTGGGGCCATCTTTGGGCCATCTTGGGTGAGATCGATCACAGGAGGGGGGGGGGGGACTAATTTAGCGTCCCCCCCGAGGAGGCCAAAATGGGGCCAAAACCTTAGGAAATCCATTGATTTGGGCTTCCTCGCCGAGGCCGCTTTGGACGCTCCGACGACTCGCGGAACCCGCTGTCCAGGTCCATGGTGAGGGGGTAGGGGGAGGGGTAAACCCCTCCCCAAAGGGGAAGAAGGAGGGGTGGAAGAGGAAACTCTCTAAACCACCGGAGCCCAGAGGGCTGGTGGGATTCATCAGAGCGCCCGAGACCTGAATTACGAGAAATTGCGAGACTCAAGACAGCCAAAAAGCCAGGCCAAGGAACATTGCCGAGGCCCGGCGCCGCGGCCACGGAGCGGACGGGGCAAGCTCGAGGAGAGACGACCCGCGGACCAGGCCCAGGAGCGCGGCCCACGCGAACAGGGGCCTGGAGGAGGAGGAGGAGGAGGAGGAGGAGGAGGAGGAGGAGGAGGAGGAGAGGAGGAGGAGGAGGAGGAGGAGGAGGAGGAGGAGGAGGAGGGCCCCAGGGGACCAGGACAGGGGAGGAGGAACGAGGGCGGAACGAGGG